CATTAGAAAGATCATCCTAATGATTTTTTTTGTAACAATATCATAACTATTATTAGTCTTTTTAAAAAAATCACAATATACATAATATAAAATACTATATCTGATTCTATCATTAATTTCAAAATTTTTATGTTATAATAAACTTGAACGAAATGCTATAATTCGTTTTAGTTTAAAATGATTTATAATTTTAAGTTAAGAAAAATATAATTCACCTCTCTAAAGCAACTAGAAGATAAAAACAATTTTTATTATCATTATTATCCTAATGATAATCACTAATAATATTGAAATTAATAGACATTATAAGAAAAATTCCAAAAGTTTTTAGTACAATAGATCTAAAACTAAATTGTTTAATTTTATATATAAATTTTTATAATTATCTTTAACAAATTGATTTATACAATTTGTTAATGGTTTAAGAAAGAAAATCAAATTGTTTATATATTATAAATTATTAAAATTATATGAACTAAATATATCAAAACTAATGTAAATAAGATTTTAATATCTTCTAAAGGCTTTAAAATATTCAATAAAATTATGTCAAAAAGTATGAAAATAATAATGATAAAATTGCTTTTATTACTTGTTTAATAATATTATCATTATTAAGTTCTTTCAAATGAATTAAAGTTTGTTCATTTGAATCAGTAATACATTTAAAGTATTTTATATGATTAAATCTTTCTAATTCTCTAATGATTTATATCCTTTTGTTTTATTAATTAATTTTATTTTATCTTTATTAGTAAGCTTTGAAATAATTTCTTTAGGTTAAATGAAAGTATTATTTAATTTATTTACTTTAATTTCAAGTAATTACATACATTATTTTTTTCAATAGGTTCTACTATACTAACTAGCAGTTAAACATAATCTATAATTTATTATTTTTATTATTAATAGATAATTTATTTATTATATTATTATCAATTAATAAAAGAATATTCAAAGAAATTTCAATTAGTTACTCTAGCTTCTTTAATTAAAGCTTGAATAAATAAATCTTTTATAGAAGTTTACACTCATTCAGATTAAATGAAATACTTATCTATTGACGATTTTAATAATAATCTTTTTGTAAATTACTAAAATTGTATTAGCTTTTTAAATTCAATATTTATTTGAATTAAAACCTAATTTAAAAAATTTATTTCTTCTGATAAAACTTCTTTATCATATTCATTTAATTTATTAATATTATCAAGTAATATATTATTTAAAAAAAAAAAATAGCATTAACTTTTATTTTTTTTCTTTAGACTTACCTCCAATCAATCAAAAATTTTTATCTGATTAAAGTTAATTGGAAAGTAAAAAAATACATTAAAGAGTTAACTTGACAGACTTACTAAAAATCAGAAAAAAAAATTTGTTTATCAAGTAATTAATAAACTTACTATTTTAATAAGAATAATCAGAAATAGTATTTCACAAAAAATTTGATTCAATCTGAATCTGATCTGAATCCAACTAATCGGATTAAATCAGATTTATCAGATTCAAATCAGATTCAGATCTGGATTTTGATTTGATTAATCTATTAAATTTGAATCAGATTCAGATTTGGATTTAATTTAATCTGACGGATTTGGATTTGGATTCAGATTCAATCCGTCTTATTCAGATTTGGATTCAGATTTGATCTGTGAGATTCAGATTTGGATTCAGATTTGATCTATTAGATTTGGATTTGGATTCAGATTTGATCCATAAGATTCAGATTTGAATTCAGATCTGATTTGTTAGATTTGAAATAAAAAATGCCATTCTAAAAGTCGAATGTGACATTTATTAATAAAAATCTAATTTTATATAATAAAATACTGATTTGAACGTCAAAGGCAGATTTTTGTTAAAAAAATAACAAAATTGTTTTTTTACCATTAAAATATTGTTCCAAATGTCAAAGGCAGATTTTTGTTAAAAAATAATAAAATTGTTATTTTTTAACATTAAAATGACGTTCTGAATATCAAAGGCAGATTTTTGTTAAAAAACAACAAAATTGTTATTTTTTTAACATTAAAACGCTGTTTTAAATATTAAAAGCAGATTTTGTTAAAAAAACAACAAAATTGTTATTTTTTTAACATTAAAATATGTTAGAGTCAAATTTTGTTAAAAAGCAACAAAATTGTTATTTTTTTAATATTAAAACGCCGTTCCAAACATCAGAGACAGATTTTGTTAAAAAAAATTTTTGATTTATCAAATACAAATACAGGTTTGGATTTGAATTTGAATGATTTGGATACACATTTAGATTAAGATTTGTCAGATTCAGATTGAATCAGATTTTATCGAATCAAATTTTACCTAAATCTAATTTGATTTAATCTGTGTAAAATCTCAATCAGAGATTTCTTTATAAATAACTTTTTTTAAAAAACTCATTTTAATCTGAAATTTCAAAACTTTTTTAAAACTCAAATCCAGTTTTGATGTTATAGTATATTTAAATTTTGAATTTAAACATTTTATCACATTTCATGACTATAAAGATATTGCTTACTAAATACATTTTTTTTTTAAATTTAAAAAATAAAAATCACTTATCATTTTTCTTTTTGTTTTATCAGAAGTCTTGGATCAAAGGTATGAAATAGAAAGTCTGTATTTTTTTTAATTAATTAATTTAATAATTATTATTACTTACCTCTTTTTTTTTTATAGATGTGGAACCCTTGAATCAATCTGATCTATAAAAGAAGAAGAAAGATTAGTATTTTTTATTTTATATTAATTAATTTTTATTTATTACTTACCTCTTTCCTATTTGTGAGTATCAGAATTCTTAGATAGATCGAATCAGAAATAAGTCATATGAAAGGGAAAAAAGGTTAATATTTTTTTTAAATTAATTAGATTAATTTAATTATTACTTATTTCTTATCTCTTTTTTATTTATAGGTAAAACAAGTCCTGTAAAGGAGGAAGGAAGGTTAGCATCTTTTTTTTTACATCAATTAAATTAATCATTTATTTATTACTTATCTCTTTTTTTATTATAGATATCAGAATCATTTGGAAGGATCAGATCAGAGATGAGTCTTATAAAGGAAAAGATTAGTATTTTAATCTAATTAATTTAATCATTATTTATTACTTACCTCTTTTCTTTTTGTAGGTGTCAAAATCCTTAAATTGATCAGATCAGAGGTGAGTACCTATGAAATTAAATAATAATTTTTTTAAAATTTTTTTTTATTAAAAGAAAATTACTAATTCAATCTTATCTTTTTGTAGGTCCTGAAGTCCTTTGAGTTTTAGATTAGAAGTGAGTTCTTATAGAAAAATTGTTAGTTTCTTTCTTTAAATTAAAAAGAAAACTATTATTAATATTTACCTTTTTGTAGATTCTGAAGTTATCTAATCATTGATCAGAAGTGAGTTCCTATAGAATAAATAATAGCTATTTTTTAAATTATAGATTTTTTAATTTAAAAGAAAATTATAATACAACCTTACCTTTTTGTAGGTCCTGAAGTTGTCTTTAGATGACATGCATCATATGATATTCTTATTGGATTGATTTATAATATTGGCAATAATGTTATGATAAGTTTAGAATTCTCATTTTGTTTTAAGTAATAAAAGGGGTCAACGAGTGAAACTTACCTTTTTTTTTTACATTTTATTGTGATATATATTATGTGACTTAGAATTAGTAAATATAATAAATCTGAATCAATAATCCCTTCACTTTTCCTCAAAATTTGTTAAAAAATAAAATTTACATTTAAATTTATAATATATTAATTAGACTTATACACCGTTTTAAAATATTAGTTTTAAAGAAAAACAAAAAAAACCCATTTTAAAATATAAATAAAGAATAAAAAAATTTGTTAAAATATAAAGAAAATGTAAAATAAATTATTATAATTAAAATATTTACCATTAAAAACTAAATTATTTTAAAATTTATCATTAAAACAATTTATAAAAGATTTAAACTAGCAATTAAATAAAATTTCTATTTAATTAGTTTTATTTACATATCAAATACAAATGTAAGAAGATACATAAATTATTAATCAAATAAATGTTTATTTACATGTCAATCAGATGTAAATATTAATCAAATCAATCAATTTTAATAAATTCATTTTCAAAAAAAGGATGAGAATATTATTTTTTTTTTATTTAAATAAATCTCCTAATTTTTTAACATGTGAAATTCACTAAGATGATGATTATAAATTATTTATTATTATTATTTAATATTTATACTAAAGATGAGGGACGAAACTCAAAAAAGGCAATTAATAAACAGCCGAAACTATATTAAAACATAGTGAGGGGTACGACGAAACCCCGAAACCCGAAATTAGCCAAAACTATATTAAAAACATAGTAAGGGATATGACGAAATTATTTTGAGGGAGTTTCGGCTGGCATCTTTATCGTATACCCATTTTTTTATAACCATACTAATCCGATCTGACATACTATCTGCTAAGTTAAAGAAAATGTTTTGATCGAGATTTTCCCATTTCCTCTAAATTATGCTTTGAAAAGCATTTGCGCTAAGTATTTTTTTTCTCTAATCCAATCATTAATTTTTTCCTACACTTTCCTTTAAGAATCGCCCACAAATTCTCGATTGGGTTTAAGTCAGGAGAGTTAGCAGGCCAATCAATCACCGGAACATTATTCATCACAAAAATTAACGGATAAGCTTCGTGGTATGAGTTGGTGCATTATCCTGTTGAAAATGCCATCCATTACCAGTACAGTTAGCATTAGGAAGCAATTGAAATCGAAGAATATCCCAATATTTCTCAGCATTCATCTTTCCTGTAAATAATACCACACTAATTGGTCCTTGACAGCTGAAAGCACACTTTATACAGATGTTTTACCATAAGACGTGATAGACGTGGATTACCAATTTTGTAGCGTACAAGTTGAATATTGCAGAACGTTTGAAAAGTACTTTCGTCAGAAAATATCGTATGAGACCAATCATCTTGGCGATGGTTTATGGCCTATTGAAAATGAGCTTCAATATGATTCGGCTTAAGAAGAGGAACCGCTCGTAATCGACAAATAACATAATGAAGTTTATTTTTAAGGATACGTTGGACAGTTCGAGTTGATACATTAAGTTCTGGATATGTGGAATTCAGCTTTTTTGTCATTAAAGCTGTAGTTGTTGCATTATTAACTTGGAGAAGACGGCCAAGATATCAGCGTTTATAGAGGGTGAAAAGAAGAGGATGATCAGGGCAAGGCAAATGCTCAACATTTCCCATTTCTTTTAAATGGTTGATAATATCATATACTGTAGACTTTAGATACCCAGTTATTTTAATTATTTTGGCGGGCTTTCGTACATTATTAAACCATAGTTCCTTTACAGTTAGCCGTCTTGTCTCAAATACTGAAGTGGGCGCCATTTATTATGAGTTGCGATTGATAAATAGTTACACAAAAAATTTGGCGTTTATATTTACGTCTAAAAATGGCTAATAAATTGCTATTTAATTTTATTTACGTTAGACAGAAATTGGTGTGACAGTACTTTTTTTTGTATACTTAATAAAAACTCTGGAAATTTATATCGCGAACTGTATATCAGAAATGCGAATTTCAACAACTATCATATCGTTCTTCTCAATGACTTTAATGCTAATATAGATAACCCAAAGCTACACTCACAAGATAAAATCTTTTCTTCACACTGAATAATTCTCACCTTTTCGATACATTTTCAGTCAAACATGATCAGCATCAAGCTGCATACCCTATATATCGTTCTCTAAAGTCAAATTCTTGAATTGACTTCATTTGGTCTTCTGATAATGTGATTTCTAATTTCAATCATTGCGATATTAAAAATGTTCTGCCCTCATTGTCAGATTACTCTATAGTCATCCTTAGAATTAAAAACTTCTTAGCTGTTAAAAATAAAAAAAGGAATATTCCACTAAAAAAAGCTTTTGATTACAATAAAATGTCAGACAAGAAGTGGCTAGATTTTGGTAATAAAGCAGATGCATTAGCCAATAGATGTTAATTTTGTGCACTCAGTAACAAATCTGTATTTAACTAACACAAACTAAACTGATACTATAATCTTCTTCAAAAATGTATTATAAAGGCTGCAGATACATCTATTCTCTTTTACAACTCAAAAGGGTAGAATTCAGTGAAAAGATCTCCTTTACTATCAAAATTATATAAGCAACTTAAATACTTATATAAATTCAAGAGGGTAACAAAGAAAATTAACTGCATCTTAATCATCCCCTCCAACTGGTCTGCATTAATTGAAAATTTTTATACTATCATGAAAGACTTCAATATTGTGCATGTTACAATATCACCTGATCTATCAGTTTTCATTGTATATTCATTTTCTCCTTTCATTGATCAACTGCTTAAAAGCATACTCATAAAAGCTAAACTTCATGAGCATGACTTTAAGCTTAAATCAATCCAGCAGGCTATAGAAAGAAGATTGGACAATTACCAATTTTCCCTTACAAAAATGACTAACTTACTGTTAGGATGCTTAAAACGAACAATTATTATTGACCAGTATATAAATAATGCGTTCTCATCACATGACCTTTTAACAGATGAAAACGCAGTTAAATAAGAAGTTGCTAGGTATTTTCAGATGGTTACTGATACCACTCACGAAAATATTCTTATTGATAATGACTGATTACCCTTTTACTAACCGTTACCTGATATAGATCACACAATTTACAATGACCTAATGAACCCACTATCAGCAGATGGGTAGTACGACCTTATCACTTATCCCAATGGCAAAGCATCTGGACTATCCAAAGTATCCAATGATATAATCAAACATCTCAATCTATTGATAAAAAAACTTCTGTAATATATAATTTGTGGATATCTATTGACTGCTTCACTACCACATCACTGAAATCATTTATCCGATTCTGAAACTGAAACCTTAGGAATATGATTTGAATAATACTCATCCTATCACATTGCTTGAATGTCATCAAACAGCTCTCATCAAACTCTTAAATCATCAATTATCCAAAATCATGATTGAACACAATGTTTTAAAAGGTTTAAACTTCGTTGACTTCCATTTAAGTCAACTTTTGAACTACTATATATTATTGATAATATCAAATATAATGCCAACCATAATAAGAAAGACCTTTGGATTCTGCTTCTAAGGTGTATAATTGCGTCAATATCTTCATACTTATTAGAGTGCTTAAATGACTTCGCATTCCATTTAACTTCTTTCATTTTATCCTGAAAAGGTTTGGTAATTGTTATAATCAAATATTTATCTTATTTAGTAATACTGAATCTTATAGAGTGGTATCGGATATTGACCAAGGTGAAATCATTTTACCATTATTGTGATGTATCTACTATAATCCTTTGTTATGTCGTATTCAAAACTCGTCACATGGATACTCTCTATCACATTATGAAAACTGAATGTGTTAATCAATGAAGTTGAGACAATGTCACTAAAAGTATCTGCGCTCGCATATATGAATGACACACTATGGATTGCAAAATTTCGTAATGATCTCAACATTATCGTCAACATCACAGAAAGTTTTTATACACTAAACTATATAAAGTTAACTGGGATAAATCAGTTCTCATGATTAACAGAACGCAACCCTAACATCCATTTATGTGTGATATCAATAGTAGTCTAACAAGGATTCACTCTCTACCTATTAATGATTCACTCAATACTTAGGAGTAGTGATACCTGACGAAATTACCTTTCTTAATATGACGAAATTGACGAAACCGAAATGACAAAACTAGTTTTTTATT